CCCCCCCCCCCCCCCCCCCCCCCCGTCTACATGTATCTCTTTTCGTAAATATAAGATTCTCTTTCTCCTTATACATGATTGTTGCTTAACTTCTCTAATTTATGATTAATGAATCTTGTGATATAACATCTGCTTATATTTTAGAGCAAACCAAAAATTCTATGATTCAATTAGGAGAATCTTTGATCTTTATGAATAACTTACCAATTATATGATCAATCATTCTAAGTCTAATAATTTTTGTTCTCATTCTACTGATCGTCAAGTTAAACAAAATATTTATAACTTTTTTTTATCTTTCCCAAGGAAAATTATGCTTCAAGTACTTGGGTATCTTCGCGTTGATTACCTCCTTTGACTTTTGATTCTCGCATCACCTCAATTCAAAGTAAGGTTGGTGGTTGGCAATCCAATCATTTATCCCAAGCAGACAGGGTTACACTAATCAAATCAATTCTTTTGGCTTGCCTGGTTCAGAATTTATCTGTCACTTATTCAAAATATTGAAAGGATATCTAGATATTTTCTTTGGCAAAAAAAAAGAAAAAACGTTAATGCTAGAGGATTACATCTTGTGTCTTGCAGTCAGGTCGCAGCCCCTAAGCACATTGGGGGCTTTGGTATCTCTAATCTCGATTTATCTAAATTGGACTTACAAACCAAAAGAATCGATGTGCTACCTATCTAGAACTGGCAGCATCCAGTTTCAAAGAGTAGTTGAGACAAAGTAGGTCGATTCTGATCCTTGGAACATTACTGTTCAGCATAGTATGTGTTGGCCTTAGCATTTGTTTCTGAAATTTTTAGATGCATCGAAATGTGGTTTTTCTAAACTGATCGGTGATGGGTCCTCTATTGATGTTTGGAACGACAACTGGTTGTTTGATACTCGTATGAATTTTAAACCGACATTTGTGAATATGAATGCTCTTAATTTGCAATTGATCGTGGAACTATAATTTCCTGTGTACTCTATTTGGAGATATTGCTACTCCTACACCATTTCGTTGATAGATCTGCCGCCTAATCCCTATAAGGATAGATGGGTTTGGAAGCCTAATCATAGAAGCCAACCAACCTCTAGTAGTGCTTATGTGTTCCTTGCCCAATAGCTAGCATTGGCCCCCCATTTATTTCTGATATCAAATGGTCTACTTTATGAAAATTCTTTTGTACTCCTCGAGTTCCTTATTTTTGTTGCAAGTTATTTTGCTCTAATCTACGCTTGCCTATGAGTATTATTATATTTATTGATATTGTTGAGGAGAAGCATTGTTTTTTCTGTGATCACTAGTCTCATAGTGTCGAGCATACATTTTCACATTGCAATTTTACCAAATATTATTTTTTTTTATTACTTAACAGAAAGCTTCAAATTTCATTTTAGTTTTCTGAATTTTGGCATGCTGATAAGTGGATCGATCATAGAGGGTAAGGATTTGGATGCTAGGACACTTGGGGCTTAATCATGTTTGCTTTGGAAGGCAAAATATGATGTTGCCTTCAATGGCAGTAAGTTTGCTCTCCTTTCTTCTTTTCTTTCTTTTTTTTTTTATGTTTGTAAGATGGTTGTCTAGATTAGTTATTATTTCGATGAATATGAGGGATCGTAGTTAAGAATCCTCCAAGTAGTTGGGCAAAACTAAATTCGGATGGATCCCTTCTTGGGGTGCAATCATGTTTACTGGCAAGAGGTCAAAACTTGCAATGGATGCGATATTCACTACTTGGGAGTTCGCTCGCGGTCAAAACGGGTCTTTGGCAGGCACTAATTCTCAAGCTCGTGGTCCAAAATCTAAATCGTATTAGATCATTTTCAAGTTATTGACATTTTGCTCCCAAAAAAAGAGTCGCCTTTAGCAACTTGTAAATCTTGTTAGATTTATCTTTGAGCTCCTTATCTTTTTGTGGATATACAATTCCCATATTTTTCGTGAGGGAAATAATCAATATGCAGATCGATTGGCAAAATATGTTTTACTCGATCACATTTCTTTGTGAAAGGATCAGCTTCCAGATCCATTTTTGATTTTTTTTTTAAGTGCTCATCTTTCAAGCATTTAAATTATACTCATGTAATTCTGCCTATTAAAACAAAAAATCAAATATATCAATCCAACACATCATAAACTACAACGTAATTAATCGATATAATGACTTAATCATTATTTTGGACCATAACTAATGGGTATGTGATGAATTTATCATTCATGTCTATCACTATGGCGTGTCATGAGTTCACAAGCAATTATCCACTTCCGAGTGATATGAGATGTCATTAATGAATATATTTTGCTGCGTGGTTACGAAGCCTTCAAAGTTTCATGCTTCCGGATGAAAGTTTGGTGCTGCTCAACTCTCTCGATCATCGTGCAAATAATGGTTGTAGGAAACGTCTTCCCATTGCCTTCTTTGATCGAGATAGTTGGACATGACAATTCTTACTTGGAATAATAATCTTAGATCAACAAAACCCTTTGATAAAGATGAATGAAGATGCCAATGTCGGGAAAGGTAAGTGATGCTTCTTCACTTGGATCTAATATTACATGGATGCAATTTCTGTATCAACACCACCTGGAAAAGCCTTACATAGATGAATCATTGTCGATGGTGGATGTTAACAATCTCATAAAGCAAGCAATCAGGTTGTGACTGCAGCATGCACACATCTCTTTCGCTTTATTGTTTCCCTTTTCAGAACTTATCACAGAGATCATCATCATCATCATCATCACTTTTGTTAAAGTGTCATGGTCTCCTCCTCATGTATAATAATGCTGCAAGGAATCTCCATATGTTTAGCCTCGCACACGGCACCCAATCTTGGATGAACAAGGCAGAGATGATGGTCCCTGATGATGACCACCGTTGTGGGGTGAGGTGAGGTGAGGTGAGGAGGAGGAGGAGGAAGAAGAAGATGAAGAAGAAGAAGGGGTAGAGAGATTAGAGCTCACACACGGCCATTCTTTTATGGTTGGGGAAGGTGAGGCCCCCTTTAATGATCCATTTCTCTGCTTTTCCGTATCACATTGTTGTGGTTGGGTGTCAGGTCACAGCTTTAACCGAGTTGACGACTCTTCCCCTCCCCCTTCGCTGCAAGCAGATTGAGAGAGAAAAAGTGGGTGCAACTTTCTTCTCACCCAACACCAGCTTTTGGCTGGGAAGAAGATGACTACCTCCTTTTTCCCTTGACATGCTTTCCTTCTCTCGTGCGGCCCCCGTCCTCGCACCCCAACAAACGCTCACTTTTGCCCTCCCATGCTCGCTACTCCATAGTTGGCTCATTGTTGCGAGGCCAACCAAAAGGTCATCTGCATCCCCTCCATCATTTCCCCGAGAAAAAGAGCATACAGCTAGCGAAGGCTTGAACCACCTTTGTACGTGCTTTGTATCTGGCAACAAGAGACAAGGGTAAAGATTTGATGAGACAGACGAGGAGAGCAGATCACAGCATGATCATTAGTCAAAACGACAAGATATGTGGATTTTCCTAACGCTAATGGTGACTTTTTCTTCTTCTTCTTCTTTTTCTTCTTCTTCTTCTTCTTCTTCTTCTTCTTCTTCTTCTTCTTCTGTTTTATGGCCTAAAGATGATGTTTGGAACATCGTGTATCCAAATCAAAGCTTAGAAAAGGCCAACCGTGGTGATCTATGATCAGATTCGATCGCCTCGTTCAAGTAGCGCAGGCGATTTGTGCGTCGCTGCTGCTTCTCTGTAGCATCAGATCAGTAGAGACTTCAGCCCTCTCCAGGAAAATGAAGAATAGATTTATTATATTACTTTGAAATTTTATTTAGTGATTGATATACATAATATTTGGAGATGATTATGATGTAAATTTGTTCTCTCTTCTTTTCACTTTTTCACATAGAGAATCGTCTAACTTGGACATTGGACCAAGTGATTTTTCATTGTTTCATCAACTCTGTGCCTCCTCAAAATAAATTCATGTCGAAATTCGAATTAATGGCCGATCTCAAAGTTGATTCGAAACTCCTGATCGTCAAAGTACGACATTTGGAATGGAGACAAAGCCAATTTACCACCCAACTTTTAATCGACGATCGACTATTTGTAATATGTTTTTGTGTGACTGTTACATGCGAGAGAAGGGAGTCCCAACATTTACAAGAGCAGCACCAATCAAATCGTGCTGGTTTGGTAGGCTCAAAGTTAATTATGCGGCCAAAGTTGTTTTGAGGATGGATGGGTTGGTCTCACGCCTAATCAATCCCACTCCTAACACACCACACTCCACTGAGAGATCGATCATGTGCATGTCATCAAATCCATTTGGTTGGAGGAGCTGTTTACCTGCCTGTCGGCTCCGATCAGAATAAATACTCGCTACAATTCACTGGTATTCCATCAGATTCTTCTTCCTTTTTTTATGTTGTCTCACTCCAAAGCCAAATACCGGTAGCGAGGTATTCAGCAGGGATGGGTCTTTAATACATTGCCCCCACCATAATAAGGCACATGAACAACAAGTCACTAAGCCCACCATTATTGTAACCCCCAGTCTTCCATATCTAAATACGCCACGAGTAAAAAAGGCGAATCCAAGCAGAGAGATAAGCCACACAATAATACTGGTAGAAAGGCAATACCAATGCCAAAGTAACAACCCCCCTTCTCCCCCCGCCCCCTTACCAAACGCTGCTCTCAGCTCCCTTTGCCTCCCCCATCCCCTCCCTTGTACTCCTACTCCTCCTCCTCCTCCTCGTCGTTGTCGTCGTCAGCATCCATACCTCATACATATAGGCTTACTGATGGAGGACTCCGGCCGAGGAGGCCACCCGCTCCGGCCGTTAACGTGTCGCTGAGAGAAATGCGCGTCACCTTTCTTGGCGATATCTAGTTGTGATTAGAGAGGCTGTTGGTTGGTTGGAGGTGGCAGGGATGGCGACGGCGAACGCCTTGACGACGACGTCGGCGTCAACGACAACTATAGAGGCGCAAGCGGGAGGGGCGGGGGCAGAGGATGTGGCGGCGAAGGCGGTGAACAAGAGGTACGATGCGCTGATGACGGTGAGGAGCAAGGCGATCAAGGGGAAGGGAGCGTGGTATTGGGCGCACCTGGAGCCCGTATTGGTGCAGAGCTCCGATACGGGACTCCCCAAGGCCGTTAAGCTCCGGTGCTCCCTCTGCGATACCGTCTTCTCTGCATCCAACCCCTCCCGCACCGCTTCCGAGCACCTCAAGCGCGGTACCTGCCCCAATTTTTCCTCGTCCCTCTCCGCTGCTGCGCCGCCCTCCTCTGTAGTCCTGACTTCACCGTCGCCGAAGCCCATCTCCTCCATCCCCCCTTGCTCCTCTTCCCCCTCCCCGCTCCGTAACCACCACCAGCCGAACAGCCGGAAACGCTCCTCATCCTCTGTCGCCGTCGTGAGCCCTTCGCCGGCCCCATTCCACGCCCTCCACCTCGCCATCGTAGATCCTTCCCGCTTCTCCTCGTCGCCGACTACCCCTGCCGCAGCCGGCAGCGAAATCGACTACTCCAGCCCGCCCCCGCTGCCGCTTCCCCCGCCTCAGTCTCAGCTCGTCCTCTCCGGCGGGAAGGACGACCTCGATGCGCTCGCCATGCTGGAGGACAGCGTCAAGAAGCTCAAGAGCCCCAAGGCCTCCCATGGCGTGGCCCTCTCCAAATCCCAGGTCGACTCCGCCATCTCCCTCCTCACTGATTGGTTCCACGACTCCGCCGGCGTCGGCGCCGTCTCCCTGTTCTCCATCGAGCACCCCAAGTTCCGAGCCTTCCTCGGCCAGGTCGGCCTCCCGCCCATCTCCCCCCGTGACCTCGTCGGCCATCGTCTAGACGCCCGTTACGAGGAGGCCCGCGCCGACGCCGATGCCCGCATCCACGACGCGCTCTTCTTCCAGCTGGCCTCCGACGGCTGGAAGCCCCTCAACTCGGACGGCGACTCCATCATGAACGTCACCGTGAACCTCCCCAATGGAACCACTGTCTACCGCAGGTCCGTGCTCACCCACGGCCGAGCCCCGTCCAAGTACGCCGAGGAGGTGCTGTGGGACACCGTTGCTGAGATCACCGGCAATGCCGCCGTGCAGCGGTGCGCCGGAATCGTGGCGGACAAGTTCAAGTCCACGGCCCTTCGCGACCTGGAGAAGCAGAACCACTGGATGGTGAACCTCTCCTGCCAGCTTCAGGGCTTCCGCAGCCTCGTCAAGGACTTCGCTCGTGAGCTCCCGCTCTTCCATGCCGTGGCAACCAACTGCTGCAAGCTCGCCAGCTACTTCAACACCCACTCTGAGGTCAGAAGCATCTTCCACGGGTATCAGCTCCAAGAGCTGGACCACGCTGGCCTCCTCCGAGTGCCTCCCTCGGACCGCTCACTCGACGGAGGCGGCAATCACCTGTCCGCCTTCATGATGATGGAAGACATCTTGACCTCCGCTCGGGCCGTGCAGTCGGTGATCCTTCACGAGTCCTACAAGCTGATCTGCCTTACCGATCCTACCGCGAGAGAGTTGGCGGACGTGATCGGCGACATGGATTTCTGGAACAAATTGGGCGCAGCTCACTCGCTCGTCAAGCTGATCCAAGACATGGTTGGGGAGATGGAGACCGAGAGGCCACTCGTCGGGCAATGCCTACCGCTGTGGGAGGAGCTGCGGTCCAAGGTGAAGGGGTGGTGCGGTAGGTACTGCGTCGAGGAAGGGCCCGTGGAGAAGGTGATGGAGAAAAGGTTCAAGAAGAACTACCACCCGGCTTGGTCGGCGGCGTTCATACTGGATCCACTGTACCTGATGAAGGACGTGAGCGGGAAGTACCTTCCGCCGTTCAAGTGCTTGACGCCGGACCAGGAGAAGGACGTCGACAAGCTGATCACCAGGCTGGTTTCTCGCGAAGAAGCCCACATCGCGCTGATGGAGCTGATGAAGTGGAGGGCGGAGGGGTTGGACCCGCTGTACGCGCAGGCCGTGCAGGTGAAGCTGCAGGACCCGGTGACAGGGAAGTACAGGATCGCCAACCCGCAGAGCAGCCGGCTGGTGTGGGAGACGTGCTTGAGCGAGCTCAAGTCGCTGGGGAAGGTGGCCGTCAGGCTCATCTTCCTCCACGCCACCACCTGCGGGTTCAAGCACAGTCCCCGGCTGACGCGGTGGGTGAGGCGCGTACATGGGCGCTCCGGAGCCAGCATGGAGCGAGTGCGCAAGCTGGTGTTCGTGGCGGCCAATGCGAAGCTGGAAAGGGCAGATTTTTCGAACCAGGAAGACAAGGATATCACGTTGTTGTTGTTGGATGAGGAGGAGGACGACGTTCCGAATGAACACAACGTTGTCGTCGAACGCTCATCGGTGTAACATTCCATTCCATTTCTTTTTCTATTTCGGCGTCTCTTGTAGGATTGGATTTGTAGAATTTTTCTGATTTTTTTTCCTATATATTTTGTCACTTTGATCGTGTTGCTTTCTCGGATCGTTTGGTATTCTGTGGTGGGTGGGAAGTGGGCATTAGGGATCTACTAAACAAGCTAACGCCTTCCCTCGGTTTCCGAATCGGATTCCGATTCGATTTGAATCCTATAAAAAAAAAAAATGAAATGGCAAAACAAAAAACACAAAATTCATAATATCTTATTTATATAATTTTTAGAGAGATAAATTAATCATTTATTCCTCAAGACATCATCAACCATACCCTTAGGACTCAAATGATTGATTAACCATTGGATCCATATCATCGGTTAGATCCCAATTCCAATCCGATTTAAGATTTAGATGTAAAAAACGCTATTATTATTTTTTTGTGTGTGGTTTAAAATTAAAAAAATATGAACAATAAAAGAGAATTTTATCTTTACCCATTTGTCATGTGTCAAATCTTTAATACTAAATATATCTTTAATAATAATATTTAAAATTAGCACTAACCAGTCATATTGAACATTAGAATTTATCTCGGATTAGTCGAAAAATAAGTTTGTTCAATAGAATTCATGAGTTGTCATCCACATAAATAGTTTCAATTATCAAATCATTGGGACTATCGACTTGTAAATTGAACATAACCTATATGGATTCTTAACTTGAACTTGAATTTAAGAGTTAGACAACCTCAACTTAAAATATGAGTATGAAAATCAAATAATAATATTGTGTTCTCTATTTTTCTAGATTTTTTTGAATTATTATTTTGATTTCAAGTACTTCTCTCCTCCTAACAAAGTAGTTGATTAGTCTTACCTAGTTCAATTCCAGTTTATATGCATCTCATCTTTGGCTATTAGATACTCATAATATATCGAGGCATCGATATTCTTTCACCTTTATGAAGATCAATTGCCAAAGCTCTAGATGAGATTCTTAAGATTGTTCTCAACTATTATGCTGGGATAGTGTTTTTATAGATAGGATTCTCCTACTCAATCGCAATTAGGGAGATCTCAGTCAACATAGCATGTTCATTTCGTTATGTTTTCATCTTTATCAAGTATGTGATAGTCATATGCCATATGTTATTCTCCCTATCATAATAAAAGAAACGAAGATAATTATATATTCAAATAGAATTTTGTTTGATAAAAATAATTTTATTTTATTTGGTAAAGAAGTATGGATGATTCATTTAATTTACTTGTAAGGAGTTGACTTGATTAACAAGTCCTCGATCAGAAAGCATCAGCATATAATAGGCTAAGAAATACCAAGGAAAGATAGACTGGCCTCGACCAAATTATCAAGCTTGATATAAATTAAATATACTAAGAAAATATAGATAGTGTTTTCATAACCGAGACTCCCCTGCTCACCTATCTATGACTAAAGAATCTCAGTCAACATAGTAAATTTATTTTGTTATGTTTATATTTCTTTTATCGAGTATGTGATGACCATTTGTCTAGCTATAAAATAGAGCGCATGTTCTCACTATCATAATAAAAAAAATAAAAAATAAAGATAATTATATATTCGATAAGGATTTCGTTTGATATAAAATAATCTTACTTTACGGTAAAGAAGCATGAACGATTCATTTACTTTAGTTGCAAGGAGTTGACTTGATTAACAACAAGTCCTCGATCAGAAAGCATCAGCATATAAAGTTAACATTAATTAGTCACAGTCTAAACAATGTTGATCCGTCGATGGGCCAGTAACAAGTCCACCTCAATATTTGAGTCTTGACCTTACTATCGATGATACCATTGACTTCCATGTGGCTAATCAAAATGGGTGGGAAATTGATGTTCACTAACCATTCTATTTAAGTACCGGATTTAGTCATATAAAACATAAAACATGATCTTTTTCATTTCTCCCAACACATTTAATATTTATCCTTAGTTGATAGACAATGACAAGATTATTTCTTTGCAATATAGGATATCCGAGTTCAAGTTATAGAAATAATCTCTCTATAATTTAAAATATATATATATATATATTTAATTTTATATTAATGATATACGAGGTATGTCGTCCTTCGTCTTCGTCATGGGCGAAGAATTATCATCAAATATAATGGCAAATTGGGTTCGTGCAGCGGACACTTTATACACCTCTTTTACCTGTTGCCATTGGAAAGAAGGTAAATTAATGAGTGGGAATGGGCATTTGATACTGAATCCCGAGACTTGAGTCACCAAGATATGCCCACATTGCTCCTACAGATCACTTGTCATAAGGAGGCCATAATGCCTGTAAGCTTCAGCATTTCTGCTCGGCTGCTGCCTGTCATCAGTCGCTGTCTTCATCAACTAACGTCCGGAAATGCCTCCCACCGACGATGTTAATGCAGCTTCTCGAAAGCTCTCACCGTCATGACGAAGGATTCCTCCTCTCAATATCCTCGTTATTCTCGTCGTCATGTATAGTTGAAACAAGTATGGGAACAAACTGGAAATCGATGCATGTGATGAAAGTTCAGCACGACCAAGTGTGGTGGAGGATCACTTTGAGGTTCGTCTGAAACACCTAAATCCATGAGTTTCAAGATGTGGATGGATATGCAAGTGTCAAATTGTTTCTTTCTTTATTTTGACTATACCTTTGATCTGTTTTTAGCGGATGACAAGCCTAGGAGATCTTTGAGGCCTTCATGGGTGGATCTTGTTCTTGTCCTTGGATCTCTGTCTCTTTCCTCCTCACTGCTATCATGGCTGAAACCATCTCTCTTTCTCTCTGGTGAAAGGTGATCGATTCTTGTGGCTCTCATACCTTATAATGGAAATGAAGATCCAGCCAAAAGGTGACCAAAAGGTGGATGAGCCCCATCATCATCCACCACTGGAGGAAGTGGAAGTGGATTTGGATTTTGATGTGAAGGGGTAACAAAGCGGGCGGTCTTCACCACATCGCAGGAAACAATGATACGATTTCAGTGCAGGGTGGCAATGATTTGGTACCAACACAGACGTGGTGGGAATGATGAGTCTGGGAATTACGAGAACGCCCCACCGCGCGCGCGCCCTCGGTGTCGCGTCGGCAAGGGAGCCGAGGATTGGCGACCGCTCACCAACTCGATCTACTCTACTCTCCTTTTGTTGGTGTCACAGTATCACACGTCGATGCTGCTCATCCAAAGCAGCACCTGCAGCAGCAGTGCCGGGAGGGAGAAGATGCGGTGTGAGATGATGATGATGAGGAGGAGAGTGGTGGGACGACGAGAATCTCAACGGCTCCTAGTGCCCCTCGTTGTTTTTGCCTTTGTCCTTTACCTTTTCCTCTTGCTGTGCTTGTGACGCAGTGGTGTTGTGACATGACGACGACGACGATGATGTGGGTTGAGGGGGTGCATTGCATGAACGGCAATTTATGTGGAGGGATGATAAAAGGATAAATTCAGCATATATAATATATATATTGAAGATTGAGGATTCGAAATATTTTTAATATATTTTGAAGTATTATTTGATATACTAAATCCATCTACCAAAGTTTGGATTGAGAATTTGACCCACTTATCAAAGTTTGATAGTCGGAGGTATATTTTCAATTAAGATGTATTTCATCAATATCATTAAGTTGTAAATATCGAGGAATTTACGTTATAAATTTCTTTGTGCAGGTCAGATCAACACGGTCTTAGTAGCTCCTATGCCTGGAGAGTCAAAATTTCACCTAAACTATGAATCACGGTCAAATAAGCAATATAAAAGCGCTTCCCGTCTTCCTAATCTACCACATAAAACGGGATCTCATTCGAGATCTAAGTTGGAATGTGGCTACTGCTTTCACATCAGTCGGTGGAAACTGACCATTTAGGTGAATCACAGCACGGTCGTGTCCTGCGTGACTCCACAAGGACATGGCCAACTGTGCCCCAATTCACTGGCTTCACCCGAATCAGCGGTCGAAATCCACGGTGCAGGTACTCACCATCAATACGCTAATTCAAACGGCTCGAGCTGTGCAATCTCATGGGAAATGACAACCGACTTCCTCTAATTGCAGTAAGCGGATGATGTTTTGACTGACCTGTGTAAGGCAAAAGTTGGCGAGTGCGGATCCGTGATCTTGCAGCGTCGTCAGGCCTCAGTCACTGCAGCGCCTGAAATGGAACTATGGATATATCGTCCACCCTCGCGACCGTTTCTTTCTGCGTCAGCCAAGTTGGTACCTGCGGCCTACGAGCCTCGTTCGGGTGGGCCCCTCCCCCCCCCCGGGGGTCCACCGCGCCGACACCAATCCCCTCCGGATAGTCGCGTGGGTCCCGCGTACGCGGACTGCCCGGCGAAGGGAACCGGGAGGTGGGGGCCACCTCGTCCTCTGAACCGGGGAGCGGTCGAGACTCGCGGGGCTCACCGACCGAGCCGTACGGAAGGCGCAGCGGGAGGGCGTTTACGCTGCCACCAAACCACCCCGAGTTTTGACCCAGTCCAACCCGGGGCTTGTGGTTGTTGGCGCCATGCGGAAGGACGCCTCTGACACGATGTCGGGCCCATCGGACCGTATCCCCGCTTAGGTGACTTCGCATCTCCGCGGCCGTGGGGCCCGCCGCCCGTACGGACGGGCAGGGCACCCCGCCGTCGGATGCACGTGGGCGGCTCCGATGGAAGTGCGCCGTCGCGTCATCACCTCGTCGTATGCGTCGGCTTCCGCGGGTGGCTCGACCCCAACCGTGGTCGGTCGTTCGTACCAGGTTAGGGAGAACGTCCCCATCTCCGGTGATGCGGCTGCGCATGGCCGGTCCCACCGCGCTCCAGGAACGAGCGCCACCGCGTGGTACGTTACTTGGGTACGTCTCTCGCCTACCCATTAAATTAATTAAGAGAAATGAATTATTGACTTATGCTGGCCTGCGTAGACAGACGTACAACAATAAATAATGGAATAAGGAGGTACTCCGAATAAATGATGACTTTATTTTTAAACAATCGAATGTTTAACCGACACGATAATCCGCCAAACTTTCTTTCAAAATATTCTTATTCTTTTACCATGTCAAATAATATCATGGTAAGTTTAGTCGTAACCTCGGGGTCGACGCGGTTGGTTCAGGGTTCCGAATGGCGGGGATCAGGCGCAGCTCCCCTCGGGCTCTTGTGGTGGATGATCGCGGGGGACCTGGCTGGAAAGTTCCGCGACGCCGGGTAGGGTCAGCTTCGGTCGAGTACCTGCACACAGGTCGGGTCGACGGCTCGGCCCGACCCCTCCGACGATCAAGTCAATGATTGAGAGTGGAGTTTTGGGTGAAAATGGTGCCCCCTCCCTTCGTTTGGAGCCCCGGGAGCATTTATAGGTGAGTTTGATGTTACCTGATGTGCCATCCTGCCGGAGGAAGGCCGTACCTCTGATGGCGTCTGTCGTCGTCAAGGGCGTTGCGTGGAAGGCCGAGCTGCCGCGGGGTATGGCGAGCTTCACTCGACGCCTTCCCCTGCCTCGGCGCGGTCGTGCGGGGTCAGATGATGAGGTCGTCTGGGTACGGTGGGTGTGGGTGCCCATTATGTTGGTGTTTAATGCTCACTCCCTGGGGCAGTGTGCCGTCCAGGGGTGGCTGACGTCGTGGGGTATTACGTCAAATCTGTTTTTACCCCTATCATATCCCCCACCCGAAAGGAGCTATGCGTCGGTTTTTGCATGTAGGGGGTCCGATGCATGGCTTCTTACTTCAGGTGGGCTGGTCGCGCGGATGTGAGGGCACGGCGCAAGTGGGCCGGGCGCGCGGGCGCGTCTCGAGTAACATGGGGCCGAGATGCACGACTTAGTCGGGAAGCCGAGCAGAGATCGGGATCTCGGGCAACGCGCGACCGAGGAGCACGACGCAGGCGGGCTACCGTGCAGGTGTGGTCTCGGGTGGCGTGCAGCCGAGGGCCGAGGAGCACAACGCAGGCGGGCTACTACGCAGGTGTGGTCTCGGGTGGCGTGCAGCTGAGGGCCGAGGAGCACAACGCAGGCGGGCTACCGCGCAGGTGTGGTCTCGGGTGGCGCGTAGCCG